GTACTGCACAACAGTTTAACAGTAGGTCTATCCACAGCTGAGACTCGCTCTGCTGAATGTGCACAGCCTACCTCCCAAACTAGAAACAAGAGAGCAATGTTAGTGTGACACTGCTTTGCCAGCATAGCCCTTCCTCACATAAGACAGGCAGGCCCTACCCTGCCCTTACTCTTTTAGAGATGACCCCACCGAATAGAAAGCTCACTAAGGGGCCTCCACCCCACAACCATCTTTTAGACTAAATCAAAGAGCCTGCGGCTGAATCAGTTCAATCTTTGCAGGTTAATCTAAGCTGTGTAGATCAAACTGACAAGCAAGGAAACAGGCATTCATTTTGATTCTGGAAATGCAGCCATATGCCTCCAGTGGCCCAGGCCAGAAGCCAGGGCATAATAGAGCACGCCTCCCTGCTTGGCTAGAGCAGACAGCTTAGGCCAAGGCTAGCACACCCACCCTGTGAGGGGTGGTTTGCAGGGGAGGTGCAAAACATCCTGGGATGCTGGGGGGCTGTGAATTAACTTGAGTCTGGAGGGGATCTGGGACAGAAGTTCAGTAAACCAATTTAACCTGAATCAGTTAAGTCTGATACTAAATCCATCCAGGTTTATCTTAAACCAGTTTGGGCTATTCTGAAAGTGGTTTACGTGCACTGAACTTCTGTTGTGTTAGAGATTTGAACTGTTTTCTGATCACTTGTAACAGTGTGTGTGTAATTTCTGTCCCTAGCCTTTATCATGTCTTCAGTTTTAAAAATTATTTTTTCAAGCTCTGACTATATTTGCATACAAAATCCTGGAGCTTTTGTTTCTTTGCATTTGGAGCTTTAATAGAGAAGGTCTAGGGGAAATGTCAGTTGTTACTGCCCTGTTATAGCTTTGGAGGTGCTGAACTAACACAGAAATTCAGTAAGTCTTCTTAAACCAGGTGATTTATTTGACTTCAGTTTGTCATTCATTCTGCAAAAAGCAGGGAAACCTTATTCCATCTGATCCTGAGCACCTCTAAGTGACTGTGGCCACATCTAAATGGGACACTTTACTGTGCAGTAAGTGTCTGTGTTTGACTCTTACTGCGCAGTAAATCTGCTTTACTCAGCAGTTAATCTGCTACCTGCAAAGGCAAGTAGCAAATTAAATGCCAAGTAATTACTGCTCAGCACGGCACGTGTAGATGGCTGGCCAGGAACAAATTTGCTCCCAGTCAGCTGGGGCAGCAGGGGATGGGAGATTGCTCCCTGGCCCTGAGAGCTGCCTGCTGCTGGGGCAGGCTCTGCCCCCAGAGCCCAGGTGGGAACAATGTCCCCCTGACCCTGCAGCAGGGAGCTTCCAGGCCCTCCTCCGCCATCACAGAGCAGGGGCTGGGAGCTCCCTGCACAGGGAGAGTTCCCTGCCCAGCATGGAGCTGGCTTGGACATGTCCCTAACTGGGACAGTTCCCTACCAGCCCCAGGGTACACAGGGAAGTCTGCACGTGCAGCCTGGAGGTGGCTGGGCACTGTCCCATTTTGGGCATCCTTGAGCCCAGGGCTGGCTGGGAACCATCTTGGTCAGGGGCAGATCCCGGCCCCGCAGATTTTTCCCAGCCCCATGTCCTGATTGGGCGATCAAGGCACAGGCCATGGAAAGAGCTGTGGGGGAGGGGCAGGTCTCAGACAAGGGCTCACTGCTAGCAGCCCCACCGGCAGATCGGGGGAGGGGGCTGGGGTCTGCCCCTCCCCCACAGCTTCTTCCAAGCCCCCTACCCCTGATCGGGGATCCTTGCTGTCAGGGCAGAGGTACACTGTCCCCACTTGGGCTCCACCACCAGAGTCCATCCTGGCAGCAGGCAGGTCCTGGGGACAGGGAGCAATCTCCCAGCCCACGCAAGGAGACAGCTGTTTCCTGGCCCCATGCTCTCTGCCAGCCTTTGGTCTAGCACCCAGGGGGAGCCTAGAGCTCCCCCTGGCTGCTTTAGGAGGCCAGTGGTGGGCTGGAGGAGGTGGGAGCAGACTGCTGCCCAGAGCAGCAAATCAGTTCCCAAATGGGCTCATGTAAATACATGCCCAGGGTGGATTTACTCTGGAGTAAACCCATCCAGCAACATTTGCACATGCAGATGCACCCTGTATCACCATTATTAGGATCGTAAGAAAGTAGGGCAGGAAGGCACCTCAAAAGATCATCTATTCCAGCCTCCTGCTCAAGACAGGATCATCCTTGCCTAAAATATCCCAAGCAAGGGTTTATCTTACCTACTTTTGAAAGTTTCCAAATGTGGAAAATCTACACTTTCTATTGGTAGCCTGCTTGATCCCTGACCACTCTCATAGGGCACATCCCCAGAAGTAGGAATGTCCCTGCATGCGCACTCTGGCACGCAGCAAGTTGCCCCAGGTTGGGTAGGGGAGGCTGATGCCACACGTGGGCTGGCCCCAGCAACCTGACCTGGGGTTCTGGGGGCCTCTTGGGGCTCCAGCAGTGGCAATCCCAGAGTGTGGAGCCTGGCCAGCAACTGGGTTGTGGCTCTGGCCAACCAGGCTCCGGTTTTGGGCAGCACACACTGCCACCACATGCAGCACCCTGCTTTTTTCTGCCATAGGTTTTGGTGACACGCACTGCAAATCAGCAGCATGGCGAACACCTGCATGTGGAGCACATGTGGTTTGCGGCGCTGCAGACAGGAAACCGCAAACCACACATGCACGCTTGTGGGGCATGCCTAATCTCCATCCTAAATTTCCCCTGCTGAAGTTTGAAGCCATTGTTCCTAGTATTATTGATACAGAAGCCTGGAAAACATACTGTTCAGGATCATGACCACAAAAATCTCTTCTGATAAACTAAAATGTTTCCTTTTTTTAAATACAACTAATTGGTCTGATAGGTTAGGACTGAGTACAAGCTCCACCTTGTCTGAGCAGAACATGGGGAACCAAGAATGCCAGTGTTCTCATCTAGGTGCCAACAGTGGCTTCCTTTGTGACCTCAGCTTCCTTCCCTCAGTCTTGTTCACATGCAAAATAGAGATAACTAACTGCATATTTAACCAATGTATTGGAACATTGGAAGTTTAATGTTTATAAGTACCAGACAAGTGAAATTGCTTAATACATGTTAAGTATTATTACACAATGTTATGTTGTCCCCACTTAAATATAATTGTTTGCTTGCCAAGTTAAGTGGCTCAAGTCTCTGTAACCAAAATTTTCTTTACTGTATCTTTAAAAAAAAGTTAATTAAGCTGCAACTTCTAGTCTTACTTAAAGATTATCTACTGTGCTACATATTTAAACAGCAAGTATAGCTGAGTAATTTCATCTCGGAACCAATAATTTTATTCACCCAAAAATTAGCTTAGTAGTTACTAATCAGCTTGCAAGGCAAATATAATGGGAGAAAATCAATTTAAACTCTCCGTTTGAAGCTTGTGCCAGGTCATTATACAGAAAGACTAATCTGCTAAATAATTAAGGCTCTGCATTTGTGGAGGGAGACGAAAGAAACATTACAGACGAATAATAATTCTGGAGCTGCCGTTTGCCTCTTTAATCTATAATTAGACTCTGTACTTCAAATATAGATATTAGTCTGACTCAGGTTTAAGAAAGGACCAATGGAATGAGCTTTGTGGAGAAGCACCTGATTTGATCTAAGGGAACTAAAAATGGCGTTTTCCCCTTTGGATATGATCTCTGGTTAAAGGTCAACCTTGGCACCACTGGCTGAGTATCAGGAAAAGACATTAGAGGTAAGCAGCCTCTGTAACAGAGTATACACACCCTTATTAAAAATAAATTACTGCCTTAACAGCACAAAACACTTCAGTAACTCTACTGCACGCTGGATCCTTTTGCACCACTGCAACTGAATACTGTAGTATTTTATGGCTGTTTAAGCATTTTTGCCCTATACTGGTATGATGTGCGAGACATACTCCTCTCCCCTTCAGTGGCTAGACTGCATAAGGTAACAGCCTACTACCACTAGCAGTTAATGAAATGATACAGGCAACCTATGGTATGGGCAGATGAAAGCTGTAGTTATTTCACTTACCTTTTCATACAGTAAAGAAAATGCGTAACAGAACAGTATGGATGCTATTTGAAAAGGCATAGACTCCAAGGGCCCAGCACCTTTGATGCTCAATAAATTAACTGAACTTTTTAAGTACTTTACTTTCTTTAAAAATGAATGAATAAATACATAAATAAATACAAATCAACAGAAGAACAAATCTCTACTGAGATTCAAGTCCACATCACTAAAAACACAATTAGCACTAATTAGCAGTCTGTGCAGAGAGATCAAGAGCAGAATGGACCTTTGGAACAGGGTCACAAAGCACAGTTGCAGGAAAATAGAAAGCAATTCTTCATACTGATCTCTGCGCAGGATATCTGAATGCCTTCCCAGGCTGGTGTGTAAGTAAAGATTTTTATTCTCCAGGACTGTCAGGGCAACACCTTTATCTGTATTACCATTTAAATGATTGGAGATAGGGGCCAATTTTCCATTCCTTTGTGCCTTATGTAGACTTTGCACCTCTTTAATTCAAATGGTTGTACTTTCCACATGGGATCAAAGTGACTAAGAAAGATTCAACGTAGTGGAAAAATCAGCAAGCTTCTGGTACCACAATTACGCATCCAAGACGTTTATCGTAAGTAAAATTCCATGACTAAGAACAGCTTTTGGAACTATGCAAAATACATACTCCACATAGCTAAAGCAAACTAATTCAGAGCCACTGAACAGTAAGGGGCAAATCCTGGTCCCACTAAAGCCAACATATGGCCTTGCTTTGGGCTGCCAAGCATCAAAGAATTCATCTTCCAAAGAATCACAGGGTCTATGGATTGAACATATTTTCAGATCTGGCTTTCTAAGGGCAGACACTAGTTGTACCTGGACTTTCAATGACAGTTGCTGGGACTTATCACCTATAAAAATCAGGCCATTTCTCTGGATGCCATGAGCAAGGAGCAGGCTTCTTTCTAGAAAGCAAGACAGGGGGTTCACTTACTCTTCTTGGAGAAGAGTTTCTTTCTGCGTCCAATTGGGCTCAGCTTATACTCGTTCTCTTCACAGTTGCAGTCTTCGCTGTTCCTGCTGTAATACTTGGGCATAAGGTTGGAGATCCCCTTGCTGCTGCCCATGGCTGCCAGGTTGGCCATCCCTTTGCACTTGTGCAGCTTGAGTTTCCCGCTGGCATCTTCCACACACTGCCATTTCTGCAAGAAATGTTTGGTTGCTAAAACATTGACACCATGCCCTGCTCCTGGGTCACACAGACATGCTGCACGCCCCAGTAGGCAGCTCTCTCTCTCTGGGCAGTTCCATCACTATGGGAAACAAGGGTCTTACATAAAAAGTGTAAAGCTCCATGTAGATAGTCTACAGGGTCTGCAAGACATACAGAATACCTTTAAAGCAGGGGTTTTAAACTATAGCCCAGGATAAACAGCCATACAATCACAATACATTTGTTAATGCAAGCATCTCATTTTCAAATCACATAATCTTTAGTCTGTTCACGTTCATTAGCTTTTGGGTGTCATCTACTCATCAGGGGCATGTGCTAACCTACCCTGTTTTCTGAAGGTTTTTTGCTTGTGATTTGGATGAGCCAGGGAGCAAGTGGCATACTTTTAGTTATGCCATCTTCACGCTAGCCGTGGACTTCTATACAATGGGGACTTTTCGACCGACAACCGCGTGGGTAAATTCAGTGTTGATGAACAGGAATCTGGCTCAGGAGTTCATGATTAAGGTAAAGAGAAGCTGACCTTGAATTCAGGTGCTCAAATGTCCAAAGGACTTGCTACACGTACCAGTGACTGGTAATTATGCATCCATAAAAACACAAATCTAACAGGTGACACGCACAGCAGCTCTGTGTGCACACACAAGGCTGTCCTGTCTTTCTCAAGTAAAACTCACCTTTAACATACAAACAACCCCTTGGTGCCAAACCCATGCTTAGCTGTGTTTTTTATTCATATAATGACACTTTGATTTCTTCCCCATTCCCTGCCACCAGCAAGCAGTTTTGCATTATTGTGCTTCAATGCTTTCCTGCCACTAGAGCAATTACAGATGTTAATTCAAAGTCATTACTTGGGGCTCCACTCAGAAATAAATAGCTGTGACCTTCCCCGTAGGATTTTTCATGCAGTTTGCTCATTTCCTCAGTGAATCTCTCTCAACTGACAACATTTTCTTTTGGGGAGAAACAGCCTTACCAAGGCAAGATTCCAGCTGAATTTCATGAATTTTAGAGCCAAAGCATCAAGACTGCTGTGTTCCTCGGTTTCCCTCTTTGCTCTGAAGGGAAGCAAAAGGTATAAACCTGGCCAACCTATTTGGTGCCAGAAAGACTCCCTTCCTAATAGTTTTAAGGACACTGGATAAAGGACCGGAAGAGACATCCTGAGTTATCAAGTCCAGTCCCCTGCTGTTTTAGGGAATTCTGTTCATGTTTACCAAGCTCCATCTTAAATCTAGTTAGGATTTCATCCTTATCCCTCCTGGCACTGAAAGGCTGTTCCAGAACGTCACTGCTCTGATGGGCACAAAGCTTCTTCCGATTTCCACACTAAATTTATTCACAGCCAGTTTATGTGCATTTGTTCATATGCCAACATTTTCCCTTAGCTTAACTAGTTCTTTTCCCTTCTTGACGTTTAACCCCTGATTTGTGTGTTGAACTCATCAGCATAGTATGGCGAAACCTTTGGACTGGAGAGGGGGGAAGAGAAAGCAACTTAGTCCACACTCCTCTGCAACAATACAGGACTGATTTAGTGACTCCTATACCACAGGCAATTCAAAATCCTCTAGTTTTTCCCATGCATATCTCCAGCCTGGGTAATTCTACAGCCTGCCAACACCTTGCTCCATTGCTTAGGTGTTACCAAGTTTTTGCCACAGAACTGAATTTTCCCTCATTTATCTCGTGCTCACTACCCCATCTTCTGTCCTTGTTGGCTGAAAATAATAGGCTCCTGTCTTCTGTATAGCATCTATTTAGATATGTGGACAGCTGCCCTTCCCTTCGGTTATCTCTTCTCCAGAATAAAAATGGTCAGCGCTTTAACTTTGCTCACAAGTTTTATTTGCCAAATCTTTTTTCCCCCCTTCCCTTTCATTTATTTTTGGTAGTTTTCCTCTATACTTTCTCCAATTTATCCATCAGCAAATGATGAATCCACTTCCTTTCCTCCGTAATCATCAGTACGCAAGTAACACGTCCTGTTCTCCTTTCCAGGAGGACTTTATTTCCCTGCACCGACTTGTGAAGCTCATGTGGCCTCGTAGCTCAAGAGCCGCTTTAGCAGGTACTCTAACTGCAGATCATTCAAACTTTAAAACTGCAAAGTGAATACACGTTCCAAGACAGGACATTGTGAACTCTTCTTAGTGTCACAATAAAACAACTGTCAGCTACAGTGAACTACATCTTGTGTACAGGGGGAGGGACAGTTGACTAATACAGAAGTAAAAATATGAATTCCTTGCCAAAGGTTATTACTATTATTAATTCTATTACTATTATTATTTGCACTGTGGCAAAAGCAAGAGGTCCCAACCACAGCTGGGTCTCCTTTGAATTAGGTACTGTACAAACACGTATAAAGGGGAGGGGATCGAGGGGATCGCCTTCAGACCTCAGGTTGGGGAGGACTGGGTTAGAGAGCTTCTGGAGGGGCTGGACGCGTTCAAGTCAGCGGGTCCGGATGATCTCCACCCCAGGGTGTTGAGGGAGCTAGCTGGGGTTATTGCAGGGCCCCTGGCACGGCTCTATGAGCGATCGTGGTGCTTGGGCCAGGTGCCAGATGATTGGAAGGTAGCAAATGTGGTCCCCATCTTCAAGAA